GTACTAGGCAAAGGAAATGTGACCTTGCCTGGTCTAGGGAAAATAGAGGGGGTATTATTAATCCCAGAAATACCTCACAACATACTAAGTGCCATAAAATTAAGCAGAGAATCTGATATCAATATAGTTTTCTCAAAGGGGAAAGCAACTATAGAAAAGAACAAAACAAATGTAGGTACTGTAATGATAAAAGGAGGTCTACCCTATCTGATAACTAAAGAAAGATGTTTACATAACATTGATTCAAATATGGAAGATTGTATTGAAGCAGATGATGAAAATGTCAGTAACAGTGACAATGATGGGTGTAGAATAAATCATGATCACAAAAATACATACAAGGAAAAGAAACCAAAAATAGGTAAACCAATTCATGATGAGTGTGCTCACATCTTACACAGGAAGTTAGGACATGCAAGCTTTCTGTAGTACAAAAAATGACTGAACACGCAGAAGGTGTCAAAATAAAAAATTGTGAAAATTATTTGGAATGCTCAGTATGTAAGTCCACCAAACTAAAAACCAGTCCCAGACCAAAAAAATCTAACAGATCAACTAACAATATTTTTGATTTGGTACATATGGACTTAGTTGGTCCATTAAGTCCCTCAATTACCTATAGAAAACGTTACTTCCTAACAATAGTGGATGACTACAGCCGATATGGTTTTGTTTACACATTAAAGCACAAGGATGAAACATTTCAGAAATTTAAGGAATTCTACAAACGTATAGAAACACAACATAATATCAGAATAAAGCAAATTATGACAGATAGGGGATGTGAGTTCATGTCTAAAGAATTCTCCCAATGGTTAAAGGATAGAGGAATGTTACATTTCACGTCCAATCCTTTTTCTGCATTTCAAAATGGAGTTGCAGAGAGGAAAAATTCCACACTACAAACCATGATTAGGTGCACATTAGAGGATGCTGGTTTAGGCAAACAATTTTGGTCAGAGGCATTACATTATTCGAATTACACTCAAAATAGAACCTGGTCCAGTATTGTGAATAAGACACCATATGAGGTGATGTACAATAGAAAACCCAAATTATCACACATGCACATATTTGGAGTCACTGCAGACGCAGATACACATACCTAAACAATTGAGGAGAAAGGGAGAAAACGTATCCAGGAGATTAAGATTCATGGGATACGAAACTGGAACCAAAGGGTACAGATTTATTGATAGTAATAACAAATTTATAGTATCCAGAACAGCTGTGTTCCATGAACAGGCCAATTGGTCAAAATTGCACCTTAATGAAATATTTCCTAATAAATGTAAAGATACGATATCTTGCGAGGAAGGAACAACAGAAAATCAAAATATTAACAAAAGTAAGAACAAAACCAAAACTTGGACTAATAGTCAGCATAAAATAAAGACAGACACATTAACAAAAAAGGAAGCTAGATATTTGCATGATAACCATAGCAAGCCTGAAAGAACTATTAGAAACAATAGAAACCAAATACCAAATAAATACAAAGATTACATAATGCATATGAATGGAGAACAAATAACACCTAATACATATGAAGAAGTATTGAAACTTCCACATGAAGAAAGAGAAAAATGGGAACTAGCTATGGAAAAAGAGATGAAAGTTTACAAGGATTAAATGTATTCACACACCTGCGATCGCACCTAAGGATAAAACAATTATAGGTACCAGGTGGATTTATAAAATTAAGAACTTAGAAGGAGGCAATACCTTATACAAGGCTAGACTAGTTGCACAAGGCTATGCACAAAAATATCCAGAAGACTATACTGATACATATTCACCCACAGTGAGAACAGAGAGTGTCAAAACAGCCCTTGTAGTAGCATCTGCACTCAATCTGGACGTATTCCAATATGACATACAGACCGCATACTTACATGCAAAAATTAGATAAGGAAATATATGTAAGAGCACCACACAGTCAATACACTAATAAGAACGAAATTTGGTTATTAAATAAGAGTCTGTACGGATTAAAGCAATCCGGCAAAAGATGGTACGATTGCTTGGTAAAAGTACTTAAGACCATGGATTTCAACGCCACCACTGCTGATAACTGTTTCTTTGTTTGTAAAAAAGAGTAATGATCATATTGAATTTGTATTAATTTACGTGGACGATATTTTATACATTGGAAAGCATAAAGAGAGCAGGGAAATCTTTGTAAATAAGTTAAATGAACACTTCTCACTGAAATCTCTGGGTAAAGTGAATAAATACCTTGGTGTGCAAATTAACAAAACTAAAAGGGGATTCAAACTTACACAGAAAGATAAAATCATCGAACTCCTAAACAAATGTAACTTAAATAATGCTAAAACCTGTGACACCCCCTATGCAAACTGATTTTCTTAGAAACACTGATGAATCTTCCCCTGAGTTTAAAGACAAACACATTTTACAGATCAGTTATAGGTTCACTCCTTTATATATCTAATTGGACTAGGCCAGATATTGCATTACCTCTCAATCTATTGTCAAGATATGTTAGTAAACCAACCTTGTATCATTGGGAAGCTGTCAAAAGAATTCTAAGATATCTGAAGGGTACATTAGATTTTTGTTAAATGTTGGAACCCAATAATGACAGAGAACCAAAAATTACTTGTTATGCTGATGCAGATTGGGCTGGTGATACATCATGCAGAAAGAGTACTTCTGGTTATGTTTTTCTATTGAATGATTGTCCAGTTTACTGGTATACTGGTAAACAAGAACTAGTAGCCACTTCTACTACAGAAGCGGAATATGTTTGTTTGTCCAAAGCTGCAAATAACCTTGTATGGTTCAATGATCTGATCACTGATGTTTGGAAGAAACCCACCTTACCATTTATTATGCATGAAGACAATAAAGCGGCCATTGAAATATCCAGATCCGATGCAATTGGACAAAGGTCCAGGCATATTGATATAAAGTTTAAGCATGTGAGACAACTGTCTCAAGACGGATTCATTAAAGCAATACATTGCGATACTTCTGAACAATTAGCTGACATATTAACAAAACCCTTACCTTCTAAACAACACAAATATTTAACTTCTAAATTATATGTATTATATTGTCCTGAATCAGAATGTAATTGGTGTTGTGTAACGAACCGGCATTTAGAGGGGGATTTGTCAGATGTAAATGCCTTATTCTCCAATGTGTAAATAATGTATATATGGAACATCAGAGGTTAACTTATTCTTTGGACTTTAATGTATTCATAACTTACCACTCCCATTCCTAGCTCCACCCCTTGTATATATAAGGAGCCACCCTCACCATTCTCGTTGCTTCTACCTTGAATATTCAGTGAATATAGAATGCCTATCATAATTAAAAAGAAATATATTTAAAGCTCTAACTCCTATTATCTTTATTGAGTCTGATCCTGAAAATATTGCAACAGTGCATCTATCTATCTATCTATCTATCTATCTATCTATCTATCTATCTATCTATCTATCATCTATCTTTGCAAATGATCCAAATCTTCATCATGCCTATAATAATGTCCATAAAGATTTTTATACTATCTTCATTATATTAACTTTTATAAATTTCTCCCTTTCCTCTTTCGGAGAATCTCAACAGCTCCATTATCTTCTCGTTCCTGTTGACTCACTCACTGTTCCCTATGTGAAAAATGAATCTGGATCAATTCATCATTCTCAAAATAATTACATGTTACTGGAACATGTGATTGTTTGGTAACTGGTATCCAAATTTTTGCATTCGCTATCTATACCAAATATATAGTGATGTTTAGTATGAGATTTTATTAAATGCTAATATTTGTTGGAATTATACAAAGTAGTTTAACTTTAGTTTGCTTAATAAAACTAATTACAATTTACCAATCCAAGGAAACTTTTAAATGTAAATTATTCAGTGTTCAAATTCAGTGATACTATAATCATGTATATAGTTTTATTGAGGAAAAAAATACACTGAATCATGGGTCTGAAAGGTTACTAGATTGCAGTATCACTATTCTAGGAGGGCTTCATTCCATTTATATAGAGTAGAACAGAACAGAACAGAACAGAATAACAGAACTGCAAGGACCTTGTAGGTCATCTAGTCCAATCCCCTGCTCAAGCAGGAGAACCTATACTATTTCTGACAGATGGCTGTCCAGTCCTCTCTTTCTTGAAAGCTTCCAGTGATGAAGGACCCACAACTTCTGAAGGCAGGCTGTTCCACTGGTGCTTGTTCTCACTGTCAGAAAATTTATCCTTATTTCTAAATTGAATCTCTCCTAGATCAGTTTCTATACATCATTCCTTGTCTGGCCCTCAGGTGCTTTTGAGAATAGGTTGACCTCCCTCCTCTCTGTGACAGCCCCTCAAATATTGGAACACTGGTATCATGGTTCTTCTCTTCACTAGACTAGACATGCCCAGTTCTTGCAATCATTCTTCATATGTTTTAGCCTCCAGTCCCTAATCATCTTTGTTGCTCTTCTCTGCATTATCACAAAGGCTTCAGGGAACAAAAGGTAAAGCAATGTGATTGGGTCATGAAGTTTAATTGATTAAAATATCTATGGTTGAGGCTTTTATTGGAAGACATGGATTTTCTCAAGTAATATTACAATCAATTTTAAATATATAATATAAAAATATCAATTAATTGTATTCCACAACCAAGATGCAAACAAAAACATTTTACAATATTTTTGTCAATAGCAATATGGAGGGAAAGAAGCATGTTATGTTAAGTAAAGCATACATCAGTATTGAAGTATCACAGATATAGTCTTTGATATGTTATGTTGTATATCAGTTATTAAAGGTTTTTTAATATAAAATGGGATTTGAAAGAAAATATTGCATAATGGAATGTTAGATCAATCAGGCACAATATTTTTCTCCTTGATGAAGAACAAATGTCACAGTTCAGTATATAAGCAGATAAAAGGAGGAAACAGTTGTTTAATAAGTTATGATCATATATTAATTTTCATGTTTGCAACATGTATCACTTTGATTTTAATTCGCATTAGGGGCCTTGTGGACTTCTTGGTTTCTTAAACTGTAGATTAAAGGGTTGATCAGAGGAGTCAAGACAGTATAGAAAATGGAAAAAAACTTTATTCAGTTCCCTCAAACTGGGTGTATCTGGCAAAATGTAAACAATTATTAATGTACCATAAAAAAGACAAACTACCATGAGATGAGAAGAACAGGTTGAAAAGGCCTTTTGCCTTCCGGTAACAGAAGATATTTTTAGAATTGTGACAATGATGCAAATATAGGATATTAGTGTTAATACAAATGGGATGACAATGAAAATGAAACTAATGCAAAGGGTTACAAATTCAATCTGATTTGTGTCACTACATGAAAGTTTTTCAAGTGGAATCAAATCACAAAAGTAGTGATTTATGACATTGGAGCCACAGAATGATAACTGAGCCAAAAGAGATACTGTTAGGCAACCAGCTAGAAAAGAAGTAATCCACAATCCCATCATGATCTGGACACCTATATTTCCATGCATGATGGAAGTATAATGCAGAGGTCTACATATTGCCAGATATCGGTCATAGGACATGACAGCCAGGAGGTAAGTCTCTGTACCAGCACAAGAACTAAAGAAATAGAATTGGATCGTGCATCCAGTAAAAGAAATGGACTGTTGACCAGTAAACAAATTGGCCAACATTTTTGGTAAAATGATTGAACTATAACAGGTCTCTAGGCAGGACAGATTCCCCAGGAAAAAGTACATGGGGGAGTGAAGATGATGGTCAGATATCACTAAGAATATAATGAGGAGATTTCCAGTTATTGTTGCAAGATATATTATCAAGAAGAAAAGGAAAAAAAGAGGCTGAAACTCAGGGAGAGTTGCAAATCCCAGAAGGATGAATTCAGACATCATTGTCTGGTTTCCTTTCTTGATAGTGAGCATTTCTTCATATCTATAACTGACATAGGCTTATTTACTTTTGATATATTCCTCATTACCCAGATTCATGGAAGGCGAAATAGATCCTGGAACATAACAAGAATTAAAAAGATTGCATAAATGGATTACAGATATATATAGTTTTAAATTATGCTGCCCAATTAGAACAAAGCCACTCTAATGCTCAATTCCAGGCTAGAAATTGAATTGAAGCAGTTTTGTTAAAGCCACGCCATGGCCAAAAAGTGTGCTACAGAAGTTGATTTATGTCATTTTGTGAAGGAGATAGTCTAATTTGATTGATCTACAAGCAGAGGTGATATTCAGCAGGTTCTGACCAGTTCTGGAGAACCGGTAGTGGAAATTTTGAGTAGTTTGGAGATACCACCTCTGAATGGCCCTGCCCATTCAGTAAATATCCACCTTGATGAATGGCCCCCCCTCCATGTATTCTCTGCCTCCCAAGTCCCAGCAGATTGGGAGGAAATGGGAATTTGCAGTAACCTTCCCCAGGAGTGGGGAGGAAATGGGGAAATTGAAACCCCATTCTTGCCAGATGATTTTCTCATAGGCTTGCTGAGATTGCTTTTATTTAATGTATGCTAATGATTTACTTATCATGCAACTAAGATGTGTCCCTTCCATGAGCAGCCCTGATTCTCTAGTTTAGAACACTTTGTGAATATTTGAAATCCTAAAAGCACTAAACTGTGGTAGGGCTAATGAAGTGTGATGAATGGGTGATTGTTGTGACAATCACACATATTTGCGTGTTGGACCAAAATGGAATGAATGAAGGAATTCTGTTTAGAGAGATAAATGAAGAAGTCAGATCCATCAACATTACCTTCATATTTATGCATGTAAAAATGAAGTTAATGACTTGCAATGAATGGAATGGAATGACTAAGAAATAATGCAATTAAAATAACCAGACATTAAAGGGGAAAAAAAAGAATATATGTGTAATGTTAAAAAAACGAATAGATTGAAATGAAGAAATGGAAAAAATAGATTTAAAATTAACTCAGGATCAAATGAGAGTATATATGTATGTATGTATGTATGTATGTATGTATGTATGTATATATATATATATATATATGTTTTCTGAGGTTTTCGCGGGTGTTTGTATGTAGGTCTTTGGTTATTCGGGTTTTCTCCCGCATAAAATTGGAGGTTTCTTGGCGACGTTTCGACGAAGTCTCATTCGTCATCTTCAGGCTGGTGTTCTCGGCTCGGCTTCGTGCTCCTGGAAGCACGAAGCAGAGAACACCAGCCTGAAGATGACGAATGAGACTTCGTCGAAACGTCGCCAAGAAACCTCCAATTTTACGCGGGAGAAAACCCGAATAACCAAAGACATATAATTATATATATATAATATATATATATATATATATATATATATATATATATAAAATGTATATTAAATCTTAATCTGTTCACCGCGCTGAGTCCTTCAGGAGAAGGGCGGTATAGAAATTCAATAAATAAATAAATAAATAAATAAATAAAGTGTGAATGTATGCATGTATATATGTATATGTATACTATTCACACAAATTCTTATATACACTCAACCATAAACACACATTACACACAGACACACATGTCTTTATTGACAGTTATGAGTGCAGAAATCCTTGCTCTGCTAAATTTGGGACAACTTCCCAGTAAGACAACTACAAACAATAACACACATATTATATACAACCTTCATAATGTCTAAGTCCTTTAGTAGAACACAGATCATAAAGAGGAAAAGTGGCTAGCTATGACACAAAATTAGTGAAGCAATATAAATTCTGTAGCTATAGTGAACATCAATTATTACAACATAGCAAAGAATAACTACTACAATTAAATGTACATTATAATATTCAAAAAGAGAGATTCTAGGGACTTTGTAACTGTATATATACTGATGAATTATGTTCATACCAAAGTTTGGCATACTTAAACATTTTTGCTTGGTTTAGAAATATGGCTATTTTGTAGACGAAGAAAATCAGCAAGTAGATTAGGTCTTACCTGCAACCATTCTCTAGTCTGTCAGGCAATGTTGCAAGATTGCCATGCTCTAAATTTGTGAAATTATAACAATGGGTGCTCACCACACTGAGAAAGTCTTGGAGAATTGTAATGTTCCACATGTACCAGGGGACTTGCTGGTTTACTCTTTGAAAAGCATTTATGATGTAACCAGTCTCATAATCCTCAAGGATCTGCTAATTTATTCTTTCTCATGTGACTTCTTGCTGTCTGCCAAAAAAACAAAACAAAAACATAGCTCTGTTATATTAGGTCAGAAGGTTTCACAGAAAAATGAGCAAATTTTTCCTGTCAAATTCTCACAAAAATAGAGATTCAAAGTAAGTGAAAAAAAGAGGGACAAAACCAGTGGCTTGTGAATTCAAAATAACCTACTACAATCTCTTTTCTACCCACTTCAAAGAATTCCATAGTGTGATGGGCCAAAGGCAGACAATGACCAGAATATTTTTATTTGATTGAAAATGTGGAAAAATCACTTTATTTAAAGGAATCTGACAGGTTGACCTATCCAACAGAGCAGGAAACACTAAAGATTGAAGCTCAAAGAACTTAACAGAAGCTTCAAAGAAGTCAAAGGAAGTCATGAAATTCCTTCATTAATAAAATTAGCTTCAAATGATATTTGTAATATCATTAATAGTACAGTGCAGTATTCCAGATTTTTTGAATGTTCAAAAACTATTTGGCCTGGAATGAAAAGTAGATAGATAGATAGATAGATAGATAGATAGATAGATAGATAGATAGATAGATAGAAGATGAAGGGAAGGAAGGAAGGAAGGAAGGAAGGAAGGAAGGAAGGAAGGAAGGAAGGAAGGTGGATAATCCTCTTTTATTCAAAATTCAAAGAGTTTTGAACTCTTTATATATTATAAAGAGTTTTGAACTCTTTATATATTATTTGTAATGTCAGTGTCTTCTCATTAATTGTATTAATCTTCTTTCTTCTGATTTTGGGCAATTAGTATAATTTACAATCAATCCTATAAAATTAGCATTTGAATATAATATCTGGACTCCCAATGTTAAACATTCTGCCACTGTGTGATAGATGATTACATACATCTCTTCTAATGTTAATATACAAGTATACCATGGAACATGTTACCTATAAAAAGATTTGTCTGTTCTTCTTCCTTAGTTTTTATTACTCAGTGGTTGGCTAAAACATGTGTTGTTCCTTTAAGACTAAATGAATAGGTATTTTTTGTTTTTGTTTTTTTGTAATTGTTTTCCAAATTTGTAATATGCTAACCAAAGCAAATATGTAAGTGTTTAATCTGAAAGAGATTCTACTGAACATATAACTGTGAGGACAATGTTAAATAACCTAAATTGGATATTTATATAATAATATAAATAAAAGATAAGTGTTATCTATTTATGATAGATAAATAAATAATAGAATAATAGAATTGGAAGGGATATTAGAGGTCTTCTAGTCCTCCTCCCTGAGCAGGAGACCGTATACCATTTTAAACAAATGGATATTCAGTCTCTTTTAAAAAACCTCTAGTGATGGAGCATCCACAACTTCTGAAGACAAACTACTCCATTGCTTTATTGCTCTCACCATTAGGAAATTTCTCCTTAGAGAGAGGAAAGGAAGAGAAGGGAGAAAGGAAGGGAAGGGAAATTAGAGTAGGAGTGAGGGTAAGAGAGGGAGAAAGAGAGGAGGAGAAGGAGAAAGGAAGGGGAAATAGGGAGGAGAAGAAGAGGAGGGGAAGAGAAAGTAAGAAGGAAAGAAAAGAGAGAGGTGGTAGGTTTGAGAAGAAAAATTGCTGTACAATAACAAAAGATGAAATGGAAGAAAGGCAATCCCGAACAAATATAAACATATTAAGATAAAGAATGAATTGTTTAAAGAATAAAAGAGAACAAATATGAATAAATAGCAATAATTAGAATTTAAGGGCAAATGAAGATGTTGTTTATGTAAGCAAGCATAGAAATATTGAGACATGATAAAAAAAGGAGGGGGGGAGATTTTGGCAAAAACTGTAATTGAGTAAAATGTATTTGAATTTGATTAATTGTATAAGATAAGATATGGCCAATGCTCTGTTCAAAAAAAATGTGGATAAATGTGTGTGGGGGGTGTGTAGGGGGAAGAAACCAATAAAACTTTTTTTTTTAAAGGAAATTTCTCCTTAGTTCTTGTCCACTAGGACTCCAAGATCCCTCTTGCAGTTACTGGCATTAAGCCAAGTGTCACCTAGTCTATACCTATATAGCTGGTTTTTCTCGCCTAACGTAAACCTTACTTTCATCTTCATTTTGTTAGACATGGCTCAGTGTTCAAGTCTGATCTTGGATCTTGAGCCTGTTCTTCTGGGGTGGCGGCTATTCTGCAAATCCATGTCATCTGCAAATTTAATGATTCCCCTTCTAGTCCCTTGTTTAGATCATTTATGAAGATATTGAAAAGTACTGGGCCTAAAATGGAATCTTGTGTATTTCAATTTTCTGAAAAATTTGCATAGTGGACATGAGTAAACATAATATAATAATACTATCCTGTTGTGTTAATTCTTTTAGTTAGGTTTTATATTGAAAAGGCTCTTTCTAACTAGATCAATAAAATATATGGATATTGCTAATAATGGAATTATGAAAATACAGTATATGGATATTCATCAAAATCAAGAGATCCTTTAAATTTTTGATAAACTATCAATTTCTATACATTTATTTTAACTATATGACAATAGGGCATAATTATACTAACATTTCTTTTTAAACTAATATAATTAATATAGAAATATTTTGCTTCTCAGAAGTAACTGTGGAAAGATATAATCTTATGTAAGTTTTATTCAGGAAAAAAAATAAAATTAAACTGTTTTCCCCATTGAATCTAATGGGGTTGATAGATTAGTAGATGTACGGAAGTATCACTATTTTGAGAAGTATCCTACAAGTTTCACTATATCTTAGTCACAAAG